CGCCGCCCGCGCCCTCTAGCCAGCCCCGGAGCCGCCGGCCGCGTCCACGCGAGCCCCGCGCCTGGAGTCGTCCCTTCCTGGGCCACCCGGGGCCACTCTTCGCTCGGGTACACGGGAAAGAAGATACCCTCCGTGGATTAAAAAATTAAAAAAAAAACCTGTTGGGGTGAAGGAGGGAGGTGGGGTTTGTCTGCGCGCGTGTTGGACTCCGGAGAGGACTCGGGAGCCCGCGCGCGGCCGTCGCCTCCCGGCCGGGCCATGGACCGGCGGGAGGAGGGCGCAGGGCGCCGGGGCTGCTCAGACCCCTAGCCGAGTGCTCCTTCGCCACCCAGTTCTGCGTGGGCCTCCGGGCCTCAGGACGGTCTCTTCTTCGCCCAGACGGCGCCGGGGAGCGGAGGATCGGCGCTCCGGGTCTCCAGGATGTGCCCGTCTGAGATGGGGACGCTGTGGCACCACTGGTCCCCTGTGCTCATCAGCCTGGCCGCCCTGCTCTCCAAAGGTGAGGACGCCGCAGCCGCCTGGGCCCGGGGACTAACTTCGCTGGGAGTGAGCGTGTGGGATGTGTGCGTGGATGGCGCCGGGAGAGGGGGCGTGGGTGTCGTGAGGGTGTGTGTGTGTGTGTGTGTGTGCGCCGCACGCGCGGCCCAGGTCTCCGGCTGCCCCTTGGCTGTGGGCGCTGATCCTGGGGAGCTGGGTGGGAGGCCCTGGGTGAGACTACGGAGGAACGGGGGAATGCACGCGTTTTCCAGAAGGGGAGGGGGCGTGGAGACCCTGGGGTGGGGGGAGGTGGCCGCCGGGGGCCCAGCTCGCTGTCCTGGGAAGAGGCGTGGGGATGACCCGGAAGATTCTTGGATTCGGAATGGACTTTGTTGGCGCTGACCTGTTCAGAAATAATTTTGGAGCAGTCCTGGTCTATGGGAAGGCTATTTACCCTCACAGGCTGCTACAAACAGGGTCCGGGCTTCTCCAAGTCAGCCCAAGGGTGGTCGGCACGGGGTCTCGCCCTGGCCCTTCTGTGGCTGGTGCTGGGGGTGGCGTCCCCCAGGGCACCTGGAGTTTCAGCTCTAACTTGTGACCCGAGTTATCCCAGCAGGGCCCTGGCCGGGAGCTGTGCGTGAAAGCCGGCGCTCCCGCATCTGCCGCCTCCTCCCCGCTGTCTGTCATGGGAAGAGCAGGTTGGGAAGCTTGGGACAGTGATTCTGGGAAGAGAAATCATTTGATTTGCCCAGGAGAGCCTAGAAAGGCCTCCGTTCTTCTGGTTATTGACCCGGGCCGTTCCTGAGTGTGTGGCTTCCCCAGCCTGCAGGCGCCTCTTTCCCGTAGAGAAATGTTTGGAGAGGAAAGTAGAGGTTCTGGGCGGTCTCAGATGTGTTCTGGACAAATCAGATATCCCAGAGATATCTGATCACAGATATCTCTGGGAAGGTCTTTGAGAGGAGATCTCACTGCAAAGCCCATGATCGTGCATGGAGTCTGTTAATTACATGACTTCTGTTAATTATATGAGTTCTTCCAGCATCACTGAGGCTAGGTCGCTCACGGTGCACGTGTGGGCTTTGTGCGGGTTGGGCTTAGGAATGGGAATGCATGTTCACCTACTCCGCTGTCTTTGAAGTCCAGTGGACTTCACGTCTCTTAATTATGAGTTAGAACAATTCTGAGGATCACAGCTTCCGGGATTTATGATGTGCACAGGAAACTCAAGGAAAGGTTGATGAAATCAGTGAATTCAACTCAGGAAGACATGAGGTTTAAAAAAAAAAAAAAAATCCACGGCAACAACAGCCCAGCCAGCTGGAATACTGCTGGCAGGCGTGTGTTTTTATTGGTTGTCACTTGGTTTTATAATAGGTGTTGGCTTCTCTGTTTTTATGTTGCAGTAGCAAGGTTTTATTAAGAAAGGGACAGAATAGCTTTGTGAATATGACCTGACTGTTGTGTTTTCTCCGTTATGTACATAGTTCTGTGGCTGATGTCTTTATTAGACTGAGCAGTGTTGAGAACTGTATTTCCCTGACTACTGTGGAACTTTTTCAAGTGGAAACACCAAAAATGTCCTCAAAGGAGGTTCTCTGTGATGTGGAGGCCCCTTTTCGAGGTGGCCAAAAAGATACCATAAGCCCAGCGTATGCTGTTTTGTGTGTTGAATTTAGAGGACTCAGCCAGACATTTCATCTGTGAACTGGTTATATCTGAGACTTCACACAGCAGAATACCCAGCACATGGGAGGTAATTCAGTGACTATTCACAATGTGTCAAAGACAAGGAAGAAGTTAAGACCTCTCATGTCATGGGATTGTTTAAATTAAAATTTCCTGATGCAGATGCGATTTAGATACTCAGGGATAATTCTTTTCCCAGTGTGTTCATGTGGCCTCTTTAAGATTCTGACCTGAAAGTTCTACACCAGCTTGAAATCAAGTATGGACTGTATTTAAAAAGATTTTAACTGGAAGTAAACCCACACACAATCCAAAGGGCTTAATTTCGACCTGATTGAAACACAATTGTTATCAAATATTAAATATCTGTTTCAGCATATTTTTGTTTTTACTATATGTATTGTGTTTCCAAATAGGAATCCTTGAATTTAAAAAAAATGCACATTTTAATACCTGGCGAATGTTCTTGAATCTTACACATGTTTAAATCTCATGAGCAGGAAATGATTAGTCATAGAGCAAACCCACCCTCTTATAGATTCTTTTTGGAAAGCAAATAAAAATAAAATGCCATTGCTTGTACTTCTGTGCCCGTGGGACCTAGGAACTACGGCACGACACAAAAAGCTTCACCAGCAACCTTGTCACAGGGTCCCAAACTTTTCTGGAGAGTGGCCTTGTGTCAGAGAGCTTGTGTGATGTCTGAGGGCTGGTCTTCGTTGCTTGATGTGGACAGCGGTGGGGCCAGCCTGCAGATGAGCATAGCATGTGGCTATTTGTGGGAAGGGTGGGGTGTGGAGGGTGGGCTGAGAGGAAAAATCAGTGAGGAGATTGGACATAGGCAGATAGCATAGGGGTTTTAAATGCGGAGTCAAGCATGTTGCCATATTTAGGTTGCTAGTTGCTCCCTCACCTGTGGGCATCCTTCGGCGCTATGGTCTCTTACAGAAGTGGGTAGGAAGCTGATAGGAAGTGGAACTTCTGGGTGACAGGGTACTGCCTCTTATTTAGGCAATCTTGTTTTCCAATAGCCTTGGACTGGAAAGAGCTTCATCGTATAGTGAGGCTTTCTTCAGGGGTCAGCACCTTTTCAGGGAGAAAAAAAAGTATCAGAAATGAGCAAGTTAGAGGGTGTGTTTGGAAGGGGGAGGAAGGAGACTGGTTTTTGTTTTGTTTTGTTTTGTTTTGTTTTGTTTGAGTTGGAGTCTCACTCTGTCACCC